AATTTTTTCTTTTAGTTTTATCATACTTCCTATTTAATTAAAAAAAATTATTAGAATTATATGATTTTGTGTTTTTGAATTGTATCGGCATTTGATTTTTTAACAAAATTGATAGATGAAATATAATCTTAATATATTTATTATATATATTGGTTGGAATATATTTTATATTTAAATAATATATTAAATGTAACAAGCATAAATTTTCTATAAAAACTAAGTGATAAATTCGATAGAGCACCGAATTCGATCTGCATCTAGATTCACATGTTTAAAATTCGATTTAAATTCATAAAATTCAATTCAATCTGTTTTATTAAACAATTCGATCCAAATCTTCTATAATTAATCCGAATTTCACCCATTGACAACAATACTTTTAACATTGTATTAGGAAATAAAATTGTGATTTAACCATCAATTTAACCTTTTTGGATTGAGATGGTTATTTGACATAATATTATAGTTTTGATGATCACTTAGTTACAAATTCCAAACTCAAAAGACTTTTATTTAAAGAGAAGTGTTAAAAAACTATTCCACATTAAAATAATAAATAAATAAATAAATAAATAATAGATAAGTAATGTATAAAATTAAGAACTAAAAAATCATGATAAGATTTAAGTTGTTTTAATAGAATCCAAATTTAACTAGTTAATTTAATATGGTATCAAAATTTTAAATTCTATTCCTAATTTATTTTTTGATCTCAAATTGAGATTCACCTTGCTGGTTCTCGAAACTTCAAATCGAAATTGTTTTCCAAAGACTATACCTTTAGTTTTTGCAAGTTTCTTTGAGTAGAAAAAATCCACATCGCTCTCTCATGCTACCTCTGATGCAACTCTGAGTAATATTAAGTGGCGATGTAATTGTTTGGTTGAAGTCCGAAACCTGAACTATATATGTACGAGATATCTAACATAAGACTGGTTTTAAATCGTCCAAGATTCCAAAGGCATGAATATAGACAAATTAAGCATGAGCTAGAAATCCCAACCAAATACAGATGGTGTCATGAATTAAAAAAAAATGTCAATATGATGTATAAATCTATCATCTATGATAGAAAAGAAGGGGAAGGAGCAATTGTTTTAGAATAAGATAGGAGAAATTAAGAATCAAAACGCCCAAATTTCTACAATGTGCCGAGCAGCAGAATATATATGGTGGTTCACAACACTAATATTATCAAATATCATACGCTTTTCAAACATTAATTATATAAGTCCTTACACATTTATAAACAAGCCATTATATTATACAAGTCCTTTTTATATTTAAAATTCATCCTTTGCTCACCATCATCATTGCCTCTTAAAATCTAGCCACATGAGTTGATCAGCAGAAAGGCACTAAAAGAATTATTAGAGGCATATTCTAAACTAAAGTGCCTTAAGAAATCAATAATTCGCCATAGACAAGCCCTACGAGAATTCTTTTCATCAATGTTCAATACGAGTTTCATTGTATATGGCAAGCAGTACTTATTTCATCCGGCATGGAACTTGAGCATAAAGATTTGAAATGGAGAATAAATTCTTTCGCACATTATATATATATATATATATATTCAAGTCAATTTCCTAAAGCAAAACCGATGAAGAAATTGTCGAGGGAGAATCTTATTCATTTTATTTACTAATTATGAAGGGTCGGGATATATATTGTTTTTTGAAGAGGCCACAATTATAATACATTTGGGGTCATAATAGATATAAAGACTAATAGAAAAGGAGAGTTTTACATTTAGAGACTTAAACCATGAAGTGAAGTAAAACAATATATATTAAGATTATAATTTGTACAAATTCATATTACTTTGTATATCATAAAATATTTTTATTTGAAGAGATACAAGGTGTTAGGGTTCGAATACATAGGGTTAAAAAAGTTTTGATAATCACTGAATTTAAAAGTTTAAATTCTTAAATGAGATCCTAGAAAGAGGTTATGCCAATAAATATAATAAAATGATATCCTTGGGTTTCATATAGTAGAATAAATTTTAAATGAGTAGTTCTCTATCATGGTATAAGAACTTGATTCATAATCAACATGATCTTGAGTTCAAATACTACCACCCTCATTTATTTTAGTAATCACAATTCAAATTTCAGTACAAGATGGTGTACATCATATTTGGTAGAAAAATCATAACATTGTCCGGGTATCATCCAAACTATGTTGGCTAATGTTTGTCTAACTCAGTCTCTCTTTTCTTTGTATGTTTCGAGAATATTTTAATAAATCTGAGACCAATATTTTTGAATTGAAAATTCAGAATGATCAGCTCTGCAATCAACTAGCAAAAAGCAAATAGGTCTTCAAATCGTTCATTTGAAAAAATAAAAACCCTTTTCATTTGATAATCATAATACTTCTAAAAAAATGAAATCTTTTACCAATAGAGTAACAAATAGATAGTGTAGGATTCGCTTTTCCTTTTGAGGAAATTAAAATCATTTTTTTTAATTAATATTACATGATTTGTTTTTTTAAAAAATTGAGTATTCTGCATAGATTTTATTGTTAAGCATATGAGCTTAAAAATAAAATTCTTAGCATCCAATGAGCCATACAAATTAAAATCTTTATCATTAGTATATTTGGATGGAAATCTTTTTTATTTGATATGAATTTCATAGCCAAATCCATTATTATTTGGGAGAAATCATAGCCTTATTCAGGTAACATCCAAACTCAGCAGATTGAATTTTTTTTTTTTTTTTTTAATTACCAGGGTTTTTATTGTATATCAAATTTGTTTCCACTTATATATATATATAAAAACTAGACAAGCTATGTTTCTCATTCTCTTTTGAAGCACACTAAAATGAATTTTTGTTCTGTGCAGTTTTAATGTTGAACAAGTGAGCTGAGAAATCCAATTCTTAACATTCAAGAAGCCATTCAATCTGAAATTTTTATGAAAGATAGATGCTGTGGTTGTCTGTTCTCTGCCAGCTAAAATTCATAACTAGATCTAATTAAGTCTGAGCAGGGTGAAGTTTTTTTGTATAACGAATTTGTTTCTGTCCTCTATTTTATTTTTTATTTAGTTAAATATGATCAACACTTAACCAGGCTTCAGGATTTCTTTGACTTACAGTAAAATCATTTTTGTCGAACTTCATACATACATACATATATATATACACACACACACTTGAAATCCATTTTCCATTAAATAAGTTAATTTGACTATCCATTTAACTTTCATGCCACTATAAAAAAGAAATTGTCCATTTTAGCCTTTCAATGTAATTGCTGAGAAAATTAACTAATAACTAATATATTGTTTCGCTCCACCAAAAAAGAAAGAAAAAATTCCATGATAAAAACATTACCGCACAAACATGCGGGACATTCCATTAGTTTGGAAGTGAAGTGGAAGATGAAGTTATCTAGTACTCAATCTAGATTTATATAAACGGAGCAGAAGAGGGTAAGGAGCTTCAAAATATTTCGACATATTTCTCCACACAAGTAATTATATCTCGAACTAACAGTGTTAATTTTTAGGACAAGACAACTGAAGTTCTTCCTTACAGACCAGACATCTATAAGATGAGCAAAAAAGGAATTTGATTCCCTAGCAGAGACAAAGCTTTTTTTTTTTTAAAAAAAAAATATATTTGCGAGCTCTTAATTTGTACCAAGTAATGAAAACAATAGAGAAATCAGTTTTAAAAGGCAAAAATCTCGCGGTGCCTACTTTCCAATTGGATCTCTAAAATTGTCTATAAAAAGAGTATTAGAATCTGGGTAGTTCACCATAAAATCAATATTGTAATCTGAATACCATTGTGAATTTAGACAGATGAACTAGCATATAAACCGCTTCAGCAGGTATGTATAATATCCGACGCATTCCAATCTATCCGCATGGGCTGGATAAAGATATATTTAGGCCGGAAATTCTAGCCATATACGTGCAAAAAATCAAGTTGATCACTTCCAGTACTAGTTGCAAGAGAGAAGAGCTATAATGAATTACTTTTTTTTTTTCAAAAAAAAAGAAAAAAAAAACACAAACAAACAAACCCTTTTTGGTAGAAGAACATATAAAGTATGATTAACAATTAATAAATTAGTAATCGTTGTTGTTGTCTGTAAACATATGCATATCCTGAAACTTGGTAATGCACAAGCTCTTGTATTTTTGTTAAGTCTTTCTTTGAGTCAAAAGATTTTGAAGACAGGAAAGTTATATTTATCAGAAAAAACTAGTTATATATAGTTCTTTCACAAGAGAACGAATTAGCTAAAGAAAGTCAGCTGGAAAATTAATGGAACTCATGGTAGTTGACAACAAAGTTACATCCAATGAAAGGAATCCATGTTTCAATTAAAAACCTTTGTTCTATTTTTAATACTAACATATTTATTCCCTCCTAAAAACAATGCAAAAGACACAATCCCATGTTACCAAATCTCACAAGATTTACCTCAAAGTGGTTAAAAAAAAAAAAAAAAAAGACTGGATATTGTATATGCTACCATATCACCAACAAAACGAACCTAGCTAGTTGAGTCCAAAAGGAAGTTGAAATGAAAGAGAAGAATCAAAAGAAACCCTAGTTGATGTATCAGCAACGCTAAAGTTAAGTAAGTAGCAGTTTTCAATAAAGATAGTCAATACATCTTCAAACCATTTCTCATAAAGAAGATGATAGTTTCACAATGAACACGGAGGCTATTTTCAGGAACCATCAGAATCTAAAAAATAAAAAGAAAAGGAGAAGAAATGACTGAGAAAGAAAGAAGTTATACCCTAAAAACATCACCATAGGATCCAGAAGGAGAAGAAGAAGAAGTAACATGCTCATGATCTTGAGTGCAGATAATCTATGAATTTTGCTGACCTTTTATGATTCCACGAGCCCTTAAATGCCACCCAAAGCAAGCTGCTCCAATCCAACAAAGCCTCAATTGGCTTCTATAAATAATATCACAGATCACCAAATCACCAGCAACCTATTTGATTATTTCTCTCAAAAGGGAGCCCTACCACCGGAGTTCCCTGCCCATCCATCCACTGGCAACTGCACGTTAGGTGACATATTAAGCGGCAAATTAAAGAACGGCAGCCCCCCGGAAGGTGCTCCACCTTCATTAAAAGGACTATTCCCAACTCCACCACCACCGGCACCACCTCCACCCCCGCCACCACTCTGCATCTGCAATTGGTCATCCTCATCCAAAGGCAGCCTCTCATATGCTACGTTTGTGAACGATGCTGCAATCACAATAACTGGCCCTGCTGCGGTAAGCTCTCCTACCACGCTTCCTCCCACCACCTGGCCTTGTCCCCCAGCAAGGAAGATTGTGAGGCTCGTCGCGCCTGGCGGGGCTGGAGGTGGCAAGAAAGATCCAGAGAGAGATAAGATCTCAAATCTTCCATGGAGAGTCACAATAGCTCCTGCTGCAGCTGGTTGCCTGATGCTAACATTTGTTACTGTCCCTGCTCCGCTCAGTATGCAAATCCCACGCTGCCGTCTACGCGCGTAGTTAGCCACGCACTCGAATACATCGCACCCACTTCCTACTTCAAGAATGTGGGCACGCAGTGTGTTGGCACTCTCGCGAGTAATGATAACCGGAGGCTTCGGTTTGTTTTTAGAACCAGGTGGACGGCCTCGAGGCCTACGGGCCACTATGTCTGCGGAGTTGGCCGCCGCAGCAACAAGGTCAAGGCCTTGGTGCGAGCCATCGTCTTGGTGGTGGTCAGTCGAAAAGAGACTACCACTACCACCTCCAAGACTGCCTACAGCCCTGGAATCGTGGTCTTCATGATCAGGTTGATGCTGGAGGTGAAGGTCGGGTCTATGGTGGAGCTGGTGAACGTAGCGAGAAGTAGTGCCTAAATCTAAACCGGCCATGCCAACATCAAAAGGAAACAAAAAACAGGAAATGATTTTTTTAGAAAAATAAATATTTTAGATGATTAAAAACTGTTTTGGGTTTTGTTTAATATTGAAACAGGATATAGGAGAGTGAAATTATAAAGAAAATATAAAAAGGAAAGGGAAAGGGGAGCACCGGGACTCGAAGAAAAAGATATGAATATAAAGAGAGAGGTTATATGTATATTTTGGAAACAAAAAACAGGATAAACAACAAGGGAAGAGATAGAGAGAGAGAGAGAGAGATCGAGTGCAGAGAAAGGAAAGGGAAGAAGAAGGAAGGAGAGGGACAGAGACTTAAAACGCAGTCATTTCTCTCACACCCTAAAAGTTTAAATATAATGCATTGAATAATGGTTTGTTGACGAATTTTTTTTTTGTTTTTGTTTTTTCTTCTGTGTTTTAGAAATGTATATAGGAAGGTGGATGTAATTCTCACTCTCCTCTAAAAGAGTGGATTAAACGCAGTAGCTTTCCTAATGTTGGAATGAGATCTACAAAGTAAATTTTTTTCTTTTCTTTTCTTTTTTTTTTTTTTGGAAACCCGACGATACGTCGCTACGTGTCTCTCATCTATATATTTTTTGTGCCCATAAATATGAAAAAAAATTCTCTCCACTATTATGAAATATAAAAAGATCATTCTCAAAAAAAAAAAAAAAAAAAAATCATTTGTACGCATTTCTTTTAAAAGCATAATGTGTTCACGTTTATTTCTAAAAAAAAAAAAAAAAAAAAAAAGCATGCGATTTTAGTACAAATATAATAAATACAACATAATTGAGCACAGGTTAATTCAAGGGATGAGGGGAGGAGCAAGATTCTTTATCAAGTCGGATGGTCCATCCATTTTCTTTCTTCAAGATTGTCTACTTCAAATTGAGGCCTGTCTGATCAGTGTCTTTTGTTTCTTGATCCAGATACTACTTCAAGAGGCTGGAACCCTTTTTGTTTTATGGATTGCTGGTATACCCATCTGAATTTCGCCTTTAGTCTTGAATCCATGTGGTCTGATCTCTGTAGAGTGGAGCCCCATCGTCTCAAATTAAGGGATCAACGAGTTAAGTAAGCTGAAAGGAAAGTTAGGGGACTGGAATCTTTCTATCTTTGGTCCCGTAGAGCATCAATATAGGAAGACTTCATAAAATATCAACTCTATTTTTTTTTATCAGGTAGACTCAGCCTATCACTAATTTAGAGTTAAATGAGCTCCGTATTTTCAATGCATCTCTTTGGTGTTTGAATGGAAGGTTGGAAGTTATACGGAGATAAAAGTCCAAGATTAATTGGTATAGGTTAGGTTATTCCAAAAACAAATTTTTTCATCTTGCAGCTACAATCAGAAGTAGGAAAAATACAATCAGCCGTATTATAGAAAGGTATAGGTTTTAAATGATCCAAAAGATTTGAAGGTGGAAGCAGTGCGCCATTCGTAACTCTTGACACTGCATATAATTGTTACAGACCTCATATTGGTGCTCGTGGATTTAAACCTCTATATTTAGTTTCAGATTTTAATTTGGAAGGCCAGTGACTGTTTAAGAAGTTAAAGAAGCAGCTTGGGATTGGGATTGTGATGGGAGCAAAGCCCCAAGACTCATTGTTGTAACTTTTGCTTCGATCTATAAGCAAGCTTGGCATCTTTCAGAGGATGACATTTTCGACATGCTCTCATAGTTTTTCAGAACAAGCTCGGTACTTAAAGGTATGAATAACGCTTTCATAACTATATCCCAAACTCTTAGGGGAACAATCTATTTTGGCGAGTTCAGCATTTGCTAGAAGATCTATCCCATATAAAAAAAGTATATATATATATATATATATATATATATAAAAGGTTTAAAACAAGCCACTCATCACAAGATTGATGTCTTTTGGATGATATCTTATGTAATGAATGAATGCAAAAAAAAAAAAAAATTGGTTCTTAGTTCTCTTTGCAGTCCTTTGGTAATCATCTCTCTAAACTTCCACATAGGGGCTTATTAGATGAAATTTATAAATGATCACTTTGTCTATACATGCAGCAGTAATAGGATTTTTAATTATATTGACCCAAAATCTTTTCTTCAATATTCCAAGGTGTGGCTTATTAGATAAAATTTGTTGATGATTACTTTGTCTATATAGGCAATGTATAGAGCAATATTTAGATTGTATCAAGATGTGGATTAATTATCCAAAGTATCGGCCAACTATATTTTGGTCTAAGCCTTATCTAAGCTCTCTAAAATGCATCGTTGATGGTTTATCTTTCGACAAACCGGGAATGTATTTGGATGAGTTTAAAGGAATCACAAAAGAAATTTCATGTGCACTTTCTCTATCCTAATGATAATAAAAAAATTTAAGAGGTCGAGGTTATAACAATTGAGAAAGATTTGGAGATCAATGTTTCTTTTGTATGTGCTCATAAAATGAATTAGATTATCGAATCGATTCCTCTAATGCTATTGTTTGGATGAGTAAAGAAGTTTTTTACAAGCCTTAATTGTTATAGACTTTATTAATTTTTTGATCAAGTATTTGGGCTTCATTTCATTTAGCCACATCTTTTGTGAAGGAAATACCATTAGCTTGGACAGAAAGAGTTTTCATAGAGATAATGAACAAATTGCATGGATAAAGTGTTTTTTTTTCTAGATTTTAATATGCTAACTTATAAGTCTCAACTCTATAATCTAGTCGGCTACTAGCTGGCTACCTTCTCATTAATCTAACCTTGATTTTCATAAAAAAAAATATCTTTTGGATGAAATTCCTATTCAACTATAAAATAACAAATTTTACATGGTATTAAAGTCTTAAAGAACCCAAACGATCTAGTAAAGATCTTTAAATTAAGTCACTTGATAAATCCCAAAAACATGGATTGTAAATAAAAAAGAGTGTTAGAAAATATATCCTATATAAAATAAGTATAAGAAAACAAAGTAATATAAAAGATGTATAATAGACCACCAATCACAAGACTTAAATTCTTTTAGATAGAACGCATACTCAATTTTAAAATAACAAAACTTATAGCCAAAATTGATCAACATATAGTGGTTTAGTCAATTAAAGGCCACCTTGTCACAAATAAAAAGGGCTCTATATTCAACTTCAGTAGAACAACAAGCCATAATTTTTTTTGTTTACTAGACTTTCAAGAGATCAAATCAAGACCAAGAATATAGAACATTCACTAGTGGACTTCGATCATTAAGATTACTTGTCCAATCAATATCGGTGAAAGCATGCAATTGAAATGTGGCACTATGTTGTAAAAGTAAGCCATGAATAAGTGTGTGTTGAAGATATCTAAGAATTTGATTATAGCACTCCAATGATCTTCGGTAACAACAAACATAAATTGAAATATTGTAGGGCGCAAAACCCTTAATGATACTTAAAAATATTAGAAAAAGCTCGTCAACAAAAACACATAGTTTAATTGAATTGTAAGGCACAAAAAACTTAACGATACTTAAAAATATTAGAAAAAGGCTTGTCGGTAGAAACACTTAGTTTAACCGAAGAGGAAGATAGTGAATAAATTTTCGTTGTTGATCTTTAATAAGAGCATGCATAAATTAAAATATTGAAGGGCACAAAAACAATTAACGATACTTAAAATTATTAGAAAAAGGGCTTGCTAGCGAAACATGTAGTTTAACCGAAGAGGAAGATAGTGTAGCAATAGGTTTACACTATGACATCCCAACATGAGCAAGAAAATCAACAATATAGTTTCATTGACTAATCTAATTACCTTGGAGAGAAAGATGAACCTCAATACCTAAAGAATAGTGAGTTAAATTGAGATTGTGAATATGAAATCTAATACCGATTAAATAAATAATCTCACACCACCACCATGATGAGCACAAGCACTAGCAACCAAAATTTCATCCATGTAAATCTATATAAAAGTATAACTATCATAAAAATTAATAATAAATAAAAAATTATCCATTTTAGAGCCCTTAAAGCTAAGTGAGTGGAGAAAATGATTTAAATAACAATATCAAGCATGAGGAGCTTGTTTTAAACTATAGATGGATTATACGACATCCAGGTATAATTTAGAAGGTGAAAGGCAATGGATTCTATTATTTATGCCATATAAACCTCGTTTTGTAAAATTCAATTGAGAAATGTAATGTGCATATCTAATTGGTAAATAAGCCAATCTTTAGCCGGAGCAATGCTAAGGGAAAGTAAAATGGTGGCAAGTTTGAAATAAAACGAAGCATCTCAAGAAAATCTAGCCTTTTTTATTGAAAAAATCTTTATTTATATACAAAACAAGTCTTATACATGTCAACACTTTCATCAACTTTGTTTTTGACAAACAATAACGTTCATGCCAAAAAGTAAAGGAACAAGAGATTAAGTGTAATTATGATGCAGAGCACAAAGCTCATCAAGCATAACCAAATTCTATTCAAGATACTTGTTAGCTTTTTTTTTTTTTTTTTTTTTTTGAATGGGTCTAAGCAAAGAAAGAGCAGGTTGCTTGCTCATTAAACTAGTAGAAACAAATTGAGGAAGTCGAGAGGAAAGAAAAGTAGACTCTTTTGGATCTAACTAGGCAAAAGAGGTAATAATAATAGTAGGTTTGGAGTCTTCTTATGATCTCGGAACCATGTTATATCAATGAAAGAAAGGCTAGGTAGGTCTTAAATTAGCAGACTTATCAATAACATAGTAGTACTCAAGATAAGCATAATATTAAACCCTATAAAACTAGTTGTTGGAATAAAAAGACACCATATAGAGATGATAAAGGTTTGTTACTTAGAGAGCTATGAATAAAAAGACGTGTATGAGATAAGAAAGGAGTTGATTGCATATGAGTTGATGGCTAGTTAGCTAGTGAGGGAGAGGTTAGTGTAGTAGTGAGAGAGGTGTATAGTATAGAGAAAAAGGTTACAACAATAAGAGCACTAAGATAGGGTTCATGAGATGTAAGTGATTTCAAAACACTT